GGGGTCGGTATCGGTTCTGGGTCGGTCCCGGTTCTGGGTCGGTCCCGGTCTTGGTCCGGTCCAGAGTTGATGGGTTCTGATGATGCTGTTGATAATCCTTTGTTCTTTCTGGGATTCCTGAGATAATCTGAGATCAATAATCTGGAACCTTTTAGTCTGAGCCTTAAATTAAGCCCAGTCTTTATTCTCCATGAGGAGGAATAAATCCAGCAGGAAGGAGCAGGAGGTGCTGGGAGGAGCTCACCTGCTTCTCCCAGGCTGTAGGGAGGAGGAGGCGGAGCTCCATCAGGCTGCTGTTGATCCGATCTCGCCGCCTCTTCTCGATAATCTGGAACCGACAGGAAGAAGCTTCAGACCCTCAGACCCCCCCTGCTCTGAGCTCATAGGCTCCACCTACCCCTCTGCGTCTCCTCCTCGCCGTCGCCTGAGGGCTCGTCGTTGGAGATCCACATCTGATGGGCGACGCCTCGGAGTGTCTGAGGAGACGGGGAGGAAGAAAACATTAGGTGGTCCATCTGTACGGTGGCCATTTTAGGACATATTCAGGTCCCAGCCTGTGGTTCTGCTTCAGGCCTCAGAAATATCAGCAATATTAGTTCCACCATCAGCAGCACAGAGCAACCAAATGAACCCTCTGCATCTAACTCCTCCCCCTGGGGAGCAATGGGCGGCCATTGTGCGGCTCCCGGGGAGCAGGGTGGGGTTAAAGGTCTTGCTCAGGGACCCAGAGTGGCAGGCTGTGGGAATGGGTTTCGAACTCACCAAGGCCATCACTCTCCAACGTTTTCTTTCAGTTTCACTTTGATCCAAGTTTTTCTTTGTTTTATTGGTTTATTTCCTATTTTCGGCGCTGGTTTCTCGTCTTTTTCTGGTTCCAACGTGAATTTTCCCATAAAGTTTTCTCTTTTTTTTGGTTCCATTTATTTATGGATTTTTTGCCTCAGTTATTAAATCATATCTTCATCTCTCCTCTGCCTCCTCAACCAAACCCTGACACCCGTATGGAGAGAATTCTGCTCCACTATTGTTGCAGGAAAGTATAAGTAACATTTTATAAATGGAAATTTGAAAAAAATTCAACTCAGAAATGAAACTTTAAACAACAAGAGAAAAAATTCTAAAGGTAACTGAACTTTTTTTAAATTCACATTTATTTTAATTTATTTTTCAGATTTTATTTTTTAAACTTTGTTTTCCAGATTTTATATTTTCATTTTTACCTATTTCTGTTTAAATAGCTTTTATCAAATCAATTATTTATACGAATGTGGGCGGGGCTTATGGCAGCAATGATGGGCGGGGCTAAAAGTCTTCTGGACATCCTGTCAGGAACTGAACCAATGCGTTATGTTTGTGTCCGGCAACTTTTTGGTGGAAAATACAGAATAAAAGAGAAATAAACTTTCAGAGTTCTGTTTTATCTATTAAAAATAAACTCTGATATCAAAGTTATTTTTTATTTTAGTCTTATTTCTATAACATCCATAAATTTTGCATTTATCAAACAAACAGCCTCCATCTGTTCATCCTGTTCAGCCGACGATGAAGAAATATTCTGAATAAATTTACCACAGATTCATTGATTGAGTTTATTTATTTTTTTATATATTTTTTTTAAATACAAAATATGTGAAAATTTCTTTTGAAAAAAGAAAGACTAAAGAAAATATAAAAAATATCAAAAATAAAAATGATTTGAAAAAACTAAATCTGAAAAAAAAAATACTAAAAGTTACTCTAGAAATTAGTTTTTATTAATAAGGTTTTAAAATTTGCAGATTGCCTTTTTTGAATATATATTTATAAAACCAAGAATGGAACAAAATTCTCTCCATAAAAAAAAAAAATCAAGCAGATATTTGAGTTCATTAAAGCTTTTTTTCTCTATAAAATCATCTTTAAAGTTTATTGTGGGTCCCAGAGGAAGGAATGAATCCTCTTCCTCCAGCTGTTTCCAGCATGGCCGACCTTCCTGCTTTCACCTCAAAGAGAAAAATGTTTCTGTTTCTCTGTTAAAACCTAAAATCTGCTCTGCTGCTTATTTCACTGAAAAAAAACCCGCTGAGCTTTTTCCCTCCAGCCTGATGAGCTGAGAGCTGAGAATGTCCCTCAATGCTTTCCGTCCTCCAGCAGAATCAACCTCGTCTGCAATTTGAAGCGTTCCTATGGAGTCAGAAAGGGTCAAAATGTTTGTAAACTTATATCTTAGTTGAAACTGAAAGAATAAAAGTTGAAACAGAAAAATATAAGTTGACATTTAATGCCCAATTTTTTACCTTATAATCTGAGAAACAAAAAAGCAAAAAAATAAATAAATAACATATTTTAATCTAAATTCTTCCCCTCAGCTTGAAAAATACTCCTAAACTGAATCTAGATTCAATTCTTATTTTTTTAAGTTTCCTTCTTTATAAGGTAAAAACATAAGGTAAAAATTTGACATTAAATATCAACTTTTATTTTTTCAGTCTCAAATAAGATTTAGAAATTTACAAACATTTTGAGCGCTTTCTGACTCCATACATTTTACGTTCAACATGATCAGAGATACGAAAACCTTCAAAACTAGGAAACTTATTTATTTCGGTTCTAAATCCCTAAAATGCCCAAACTCTGAAGTTTAAATGTTGAGCAAACATCTAAAACTGAATAATTTACGCATAAATTAATTAAAAAGAATAATTTGATCTGAATGCTGGAGGATTAGGGCCATGCAGCATAGAGAGGAGTTTTTTCTTTCATTTTAACAATAAAATCCTAAAATTATGAGAATAAATTTATATTTTATAACAAATATTCCCAGAATCCCTTTCTTCCCTAAAATGAGGAATGTGGAGCATCATGTGAAGTTCTACTTCAGCATCAGTTTGACAAATCAGGAAATCTTTTAGCAGCAGCATCAAACTGGTTGCTGATTGGTGGAGCTGCTCTGACGTCATCTGCTGGGCGGAGCTCCAAGCTTTCTATCTGAAACAGGCTGATGTTTGATGACTTTATTCTCAAAATAAAATATAAAATATCTCTAACTTGGCCCTTATAATCCGTCATTTAATCTCTAATCCACAGAAAAAAAGAAAATTAAAATAAAAGTTTAGAGGAAGGATCAAAGCTGCTCCTTACAGTCAATCTGTTTACATTTTAAACTCATTTTTACTGATTAATTTCTAAATATTCCTGATAAAAACATTTTGAACCTTGATTTAGATGAAACCTTTAATGCATCAATAAATTAACGAACCTGCAGCGGAAATCTTTTTCATTTGACTAAATAATTAAATGCTTTTTTTGTTTGGTTAAATTAAAATCTATTTATATATATATTTGTTTTATTTTGAAAGTTTTAGATAAACTGATCTGAGCTGCTGGTTCTTCTCACCCCGGATGAAACCTTTCCAAACCCAAACTCCCCGCAGAGCTGCTGTCCTCACAGGGCCGCTTCATGGGGAGGCTGCTGGGGGGGGGAGCCCCTCAGCAGGAGGAGGAGGAGGAGGAGGTTCCACTTGCTGCTCCTTCAGCTGATCCAAGGTCTGCAGGAAGAAGGTTCTCCAGAAGCAGGAAATGATGGAAATCCAGGAATCTTCTCTCTGGGATCCACGGAGCCGCAGCAGGTGGCTGCATGTTCGGCTGCAGGCTGGATGATGGCCGCCCTGCCTCCTCCTCTTCCTCCTCCTCTTCCTCTTCCTCCTCCTCCTCCTCTTCCTCCTCATTCCCTGCTTTCCCACGGAGCCACGTGCACGCGCTGACTGTCAGCGGTCGCGGTTCTGGGTGGCCGCGCGCGCGTGCTAGAAGCGCGCGAGGGAATGAGGGTTGAAGGTGTGACCAGCAGGTTCTGCTCTGTCACTGCATCAGATGGAGGTTCAGGTTCTGCCTGCAGCTGATGCTCTGCTACTATATGGGGGGGGAATCGCTCCTCTTCCTCCTCTTCCTCTCTGCTTTTTAACAAACCAGAAAAGTTATGAACAGATTACATTTTTTTTTTCTAAAGAACAATCCATTCCATTTTGGTGAATCAGAAAAGGATCCAGGAATTATTTAAAGT